GTTTGTGAGAGTGTATGTGCGAGCGTGTAAACTGGAGTCTGAGAGAGAGTTTATGTGTGAGAGAGTGAAGGAGAGTGTGAATTTCTGTGTGAAAATAAAGCAAGAATTGAGAGACTGCGCGCGAGAAAGTGCAAAATGGAGAGAGAGAGAGAGAGAGAGAGAGAGAGAGAGAGAGAGAGAGAGAGAGAGAGAGAGAGAGAGAGAGAGAGAGAGAGAGAGAGAGAGAGAGCTTATGAAAGTGAACAACTTGATGTATGATGAAAATATAATAGAAAATATAATGATACAAGATATTTTAGAAATAGATGAAGCTATCTATCATTATTTCATTCACTAAATATTATACTGTCTTCATCATTTCATTCACTAAATGATGTCTATCTATATCTATTTTTCTATATCTATTTTTCACTAATTCCAATGAGCGTCATTTCTGATGTAAAAAAAAACGAAAACAATCGTTATTGTGTGTGTTTGTGTGTCGAAAGGAAAGTACATCATTTCGGTCACCTGTGATCGAAACGTTGAACAAATAAAGCCATGTCTTCGTGCTCTGTGTAGAGCTCTATCAAGTCACGGCGAAGCGTTGACCCAATATAATCTATGTTCTCTGCTCTATTGTTTGGATAGTTCATCATTTCATTCAACCTCTCGTCTCCACCCCTTCCTCTTTCATTTCCCTTTACCTCACCCTTCAGTCTATCCCACTTCCCTCTCTCATTATCCCCCCTCCCTCACCTGCATTCCTTCCCCCTCAGAATGCCATTTTAAATCATTGTTAATAGAGTTGACTCTCCCCTTTTATTCCTGTTTTCTCTAAATGCAGGAAGAACCGGAGCCTGTTTTCATTGTCTCGTTTTGGAGACTCATTCAGGTCCACGGGATATGGGGAAATTAGGTTTTCTATCTCTATTTCTCTCTCTCTCTCTCTCTCTCTCTCTCTCGTTCTTTGGGCGTTTTACAAGGGTTAAACTACCAGTTTGCGTTTAAAACAAAGATTTGTGGTAGCGTTTCAGCTCATTCCAGTGTCCTGTAATATTTGTGTCCTGTATAAAACAATATATATATGTAACAGTAAATGGCATGAAACCAGAAATTTCTTGAAATCTCTGAGAAATGATGGTTATTTCTGTCGTCATCAGTTATTTCAAGCAGTCCCAAAGAAAATTTGTAAGTAAAGAAAATTTCTGTATTGGCGTCCCATGTTTTGCGCATTCTAATTGGAGAGAAACATTGAGAATCAGTGAAGGTGTATAATAACACATCTCAAGAGTTTTTTTAATGCTTTAGGTACATGTAACTGACATAGCAGCAACAGCTGAGCAAGTAATGCTGACATTAGCAGCAGCTGAACAGATCATGTTGACCCAGCAGTACCACCAGCAGCAACAGCTGAACAGATCATGTTGACCCAGCAGTACCAGCAGCAGCAGGAGCTAAACAGATCATGTTCACACAACATTACCACCACCACCAGCTAAACAGATCATGTTGATACAGCAGTATCAGTAGCATCCGCTGAACAGATAGTGCTGTCACAGCAGTACCATCAGCAACAGCAAAACAAATCATGTTGACACAGCATTATGAGCAGCAACAGCAGAACAAATCATATTGACACAGCAGCTGCCACTGAAAAAAAAAATTTGAAAAATATCAAACTCGTTCTTCCTCTACTACCTCTCTACTTTAGTTGCTTCACGTACATACGTATATTAATAACACCAGTAGTCTTTCTTATTATGACCCTTTTGATGGTATGCTGTCGGAGGTGGTGGTAAATGGTGTGGTGATACCGACATAATGTGTAAACGGTCCAAGTCCGACCGAAACGTCGTCGTAAGTTCCTCTTTATTTGTGGGTTATTTATGTATTGTTCCTACCTCGGTATTGTGCCTTTTTATTTTTTTTGTGGAAAAAGGCACTTGTTTACAATTCAGTAAACTGGAAGCTTCTGTGGTGATATTTCTGACTGCTTCTTTGGCAACAAGACGGTGAAGAGTGTTACTGTCGGCGGTGTTCACGATTTCCCTGTCTCTGTTTTTCATGGCACATTATAATGCGCCGAAGAACGGTTAAATTTCTTCAGGTATCAACTGACCATGACAGTTGTGATCTCTGAGAGAAGCACCGGGTTAAACTTCCCTTTGATGTACTGTGGATGTATTCCAGTGCAACCATCACCAGAACCTGCTGGGAATGACTCAATCTTTTTACGAACATCTGACTCGTGCAAAATTAATAGTCTTGGGATGGGGTTATTGATTTTGGAAATTGATTTTGGTTATTGATTTTGGCAACACGGGCCTCCTCATCAACCATGAAGGCATCCCTGGTAGTGATTGTATCATCGCTGGCGATTATTCTAATTGTTCACACTGTGTTGTCTTCTCCAATTTTTCTACTGACTTGTTCCCTAAGCTTCTCGTGCTCAGTGGTATTTTTCTTAGGGTCGCTTCGTCGATTCCAGCGTTGAGGTTTGCCAGTGTATCAAGCTTTCTGCTCTGGGAAAGTTGAGGGATGTTCTGACGACTGATGAGGCCAGGGATTTGTCGTTTCTTGCTAGTATTTCTAGACAAACCTGAGCAAGTAGAAGCAGGCAGTGATATGCCATGACGGTGTTTCAGGCTTCTAAGTTGTTGGAACCTCCATTTAAATGACTTAAGCCTGTACCTTGTAAGCGAGCTGCTGTGGGAATGCGCAATAGAGTCCTTGATAATGTGAGAAATCAAGAAATCACTTGAAATTTCACTTTATTTTCACAGTGGTTGTTATGCATTATTTGATATCACCTGTTCGCTGTCATCTTGCTGCATATATATAATATATATATATATATATATATATATATATATATATATATATATATATATATATATATATATATATATATATATATATATATATATATATATATATATATATATATATAGAGAGAGAGAGAGAGAGAGAGAGAGAGAGAGAGAGAGAGAGAGAGAGAGAGAGAGAGGGAGGGAGAGAAGAAAACGCCGTGGTGGATGGCTGTGTTTTGCCTGGGCACGCGGAATGAGTGTTTAGTGAAGTCTTCCTCAACTTACCACCTCGATATATATGCAAATTAGAGTGGGAGGGAGACAGAGATGGAGAGCAGGAGAGGAGGCAGAGATGGAGAGCCGGAGAGGAGACAGAGATGGAGAAAGAGAACGGAGGGAGGGTGGGAGAGATTTAGATAAGGAGGCATGTATTGTCCTTGGCCTGGAAAATGGGTCCCTCTTCCATAATGAAATGAAAATACGTAATTATTAATAACACCACAATAATAGCGGATGATATGAGCCATTTTAATGTAAATGAGATTAGCATATAATTATATTTTAATTTATCAATATATAACAAGCATTTATTGGAACAATATTTCGTTGTTAGTGCTTCAACAGTTATCAAATCTGGAGTTCCAAATGCAAAATATTGTTCCAGTAAATGTTATTCCAGTAAAAGTTGTTCCAGGATACGCTGTCCCAGCAAATGCTGTTCCAGAAAACGTTGTCTCAAAGCCTTCTTAGGAAACGGAGACGCAGAGATCTCTTTTTAATCAAGTTAGGTTAGGTAAGGTTCGTTAGAAAACTGGACAAGTGTTTCCTGACATGGCCCTTTGTCATACGATGACCCGCCTTTGGAGTTTTTGGTCATCTGACCGAAGCCTTCCGCTGGCTTATCACTCCACCCCTTAAAAAATTATGACCAACAGCTGGAGCAAACGCTCCAGCTGTGGGTCATTATATAACCAAGACATGCGTCAGGAAACACCTTACAAACCTTACCTAACCTAACACAAGAGTTTATTTTGAAACCTCAGTAACTTGACCTACTAAGATGAATGATCTGGGTTTATTACTGTGGATCGGCGGTTTGTATAAGCTTGCTCCTGGGGCTGGGAGGAGAGGACTGAGAATGGCATATGACTCCCGAAATCGTAATAACACCATAGGAAATAAACCACAGAACGGGTAAGGTTTGAACCCAGTGGTTTGAGAGTGGTATATATATGACTGCATATTCAAATTATACTTAAAGACTGAGGTACTTATAGCCAGGCTTTCTTTCCACCTCTCCCATATTTTGTCCTCTTTGTGTGTATTTCTCAACAGGTTTGAAGTTGGATGAATTGTGTATTGATGACAAGTATGAAGCAAACGGCAAGTTGTATAATGAACATTTATTGGGACAACGTTTCGATCAGTGCAGAGCTTCATCAACTCATGATAAATCTCTACACAGAATGAAACATTGTCCCAAAAAAATCGTTGTCTTTTTTGTAACTTGTGACTGTCTTCAAGGTGTTAAGTTGATCCCTTCACTTTGTCTTAAACTTACAGACTTGAGAACCTCTCAAAACTAAGCATCTTCAGGACCACTTTTCTTAAGTTTCTCAAAAGATTAAGCCTCTTCCCTTAAGCTTCTTCCCAGACCTAGTTCCAGCCTTCTCTTTTCCTATCCTTAACTCATCCAACTAGCTAAGGCACGATAGTCCTTAACCTACATAGAAATAGATAATTTTTCTAAGCAGAAAGCCTAGGTGTGGACTTCTAATCCTCAACTACACTATTTTCCACGTACTGAATTATTCATACACTTAGCTAATACACGACATTCTTTAATCTCATTGAGAAGATAGTTCTTTTCAGCAGATAGTCTCGGTTTGGGCCTGCAAGTCCACTGCTATCTGTTTTTCCCATGTACTGGACAGCGGACCATGCTCATCTCCATATCATGCTTGGTAGGTAGGACACAAATGGAATTAATGCTCTCCAGGAGCATTGTCAAGCTGGTACATTCTACCAACATTATTACAGATCATGGTTGTCATGTGCATGTTTATTCTCCTCCCACAGGCAACTACTCACGGCTGCTGTGTGAGATCATGTTTGTGCGATCCATGGGTTACTACCTAATTCAAATATACATCCCCTCGTCACTGATCGTCGTCATCTCCTGGGTTTCGTTCTGGCTCAACCGATCAGGTGAGTTTCCTCTGCCCTATGTTGTGACTCTCTCTCTCTCTCTCTCTCTCTCTCTCTCTCTCTCTCTCTCTCTCTCCTCTCTCTCTCTCTCTCTCTTTCTCTCCCTCCCTCCCTCTCTTTCTCCTGCTCAATTTCTCTTTATATATTCAAATATGTTTCTCTCTTCTTAAATCTAATTATATATCTATTACATTTTTATCTGTCTGTCAGTCAATCTCTCTGTCTATCTACCTACCAATCTACCTACCTACCTACCAACCAACCAACCTACCTACCTACCTACCTACCTACCTACCTACCTACCTACCTACCTACCTACCTACTTACCTACCTACCTACCTACCTACCTACCTACCTACCTACTTACCTACCTACCTACCTACCTACTAACCAACCTACCTACCTACCTACCTACCTACCTACTAACCAACCTACCTACCTACCTACCTACCTACCTACCTACCCACCTACATACCTGCCTACCTACCTACCTACCTACCTACTAACCAACCTACCTACCTACCTACCTACCTACCTGCCTACCTACCTACGTACCAACATACCTATCTACCTACCTACCTACCTGCCGACCTACCACCCAACCTACCTATTAATCTACCTGTCTACCTACCGACCTACCTACCTAACTACCTACCACCCAACCTACCTATTTATTTACCTACCTACCTACCTACTTATCTACCGACCAACCTACCTACCTAACTACCTACCTACCTATCTACCAATTAACCTACCACCCACTCTACCTACCGACTATATATCTCTCAGAACTCTCACACTCACCCATGTACCCAGATCTGAGGCAGCTACATCACACACACTGATACTCTGCAAGTGGAAACTTCAGTAATGTTCCTTGTTTTGCGTTTATCCCGCTTTACCTACATAGATTGTTTTCTATCTCTGCTTCTGTAGTTATATTATAGCATGCAGACTCTTACTCTGTCTTCAGTTCATCCTCTCTCTCTCTCTCTCTCTCTCTCTCTCTCTCTCTCTCTCTCTCTCTATCTATCTATCTATCTATCTATCTATCTATCTATCTATCTATCTATCTCTCTTGCCTTGTGTTAGATACGTTTTCAGTTTGCTGTTTTTTTACACTACGGTACGTTTGTTGGGTAGATGATGCGATTCTTGACCTGATTCTGTCTGTAGTTGCGTTTTAGTTCGTTTGTTTTGCTTAATTATTTTTTTTGCGATGTTTTCTTTTGTTGCACAACTCAAAATTTATTGTGTCTATCTGTCTGTCTGTATATGTCTGTCTCTCTCTCTGTCTCTCACTCTCACTCTCTCTCTCTCTCTCTCTCTCTCTCTCTTCCTCCCTCCTTTATCTTTCTCATTAAGTCCCCCAATACTATGCATGTTCAACTTATAAAATCCTTTATATTTTCAACTTTCTATAATTTATCTTTTCAGATCTTTGTTATTCAGCAAACCCATAACAAAAAAAAATAAAAATTGCTTGTTCTTGTTTTTGTCTTATATATCAGCTTACAAATTTTGCTAAAGAAAAGGATGTCATCCTATTTTCTTTATCCTTCACATGGAAACCTAGAAACACCTATGAAAAACAAGAAAGGTCTATTTACACACAGAGAGGTGTGATGGTGATTTTTTTTTCTCTAGGAAACAGGACACATGTCTTATACAGATAAAAATCCCGTCAGTGGTTAATTGTCCTCTGGTCTGCCTAAATGGTGTAGTTCTCTGTGTATATACACTTAGAGGAGTGTACCTCTCGGTGTGTATACTGTGAGAGATCTGTATCTCTCAGTGTGTATGCAATGGGAGATGTGTATGTCTTAGTGTCTATTCGGTGAGAGATGTGTATCTCTTGGTGTATATACAATGAAAGGTGAACATCGGCATATATGCATCGAGAAGTGTGTATCAGTGTATACACACTGAAGGATATGTATCAGCGTATATACACTGAAAGGTGCGAATATCTCAGTGTATATACACTGAAAGGTTTGTGTCTCGGTGTATATATAACGAAAAGTTTATCTTTCTGTGTATTTAAATTGATAGGTGTCTATTTCATTGAATATTTACTGAGAAATGTACATCGCTCTGTGGATGTACACTAGTGGATATACATTTTTCTGTGTTTACAAATAAGAGATGCGTATCTCTGTGCATATACACTATGAGAAATGTTTCTTTCTGTTTATATACACTGGTAATAGAAATTAATCCGTATTGTAATGAGTAAATGCATGCATTGACCCATATGGGTTTAGCGATTTTGAGAATATAATAATAACCATAGGAATTATAGGATCCTTAACATTAATGGAGCTCAGAATTCCACATGTCATCAAAGGGTGAACCTAACAAAGGAACCTCATTCAACAAGATGGGTGCACCTTTGGACGCGTCATTTCTGGTCACAGAATATAAATCTGAGAAATAGTATTATCATTATTTTTAACCAGATATTCTAAGCCCGTGCGGATTATTCAGTGCGGGAAGTGATGGAGGCTCGATACTCCGTCCACTAATAGTGGCCCAGTCATTTTGGGATATAGCACGAAAACATGGAGCATTGCTTTGACTACACTCCTATGTAACTTTGAAGAGGATAAAAAATCGAAGTTGCTTTTAAATCATTGATGTGGAATTAATTAATAGCCATTGTTTACACGAACGCACAGTGCTAGTCTGGTATCTAACTATATATATATTATATATATATATATATAATATATATATATATATATATAATATATATAATATATATATATATATATATATATATATATTATATATATTACATATATACAAACCACGGGGGATGGAAATCTTCAGCTCAAGATCTTCTAAGGAAACTTCCTCTCATTCCACTTGTTGCTGCTCTTGCTTCATAACTTAATTAATGATGATCCACCAGGATATATGAAAGATCTTGAGCCGCAGATTTCCTAACCAAACATCCACAAAATTATAATTTACAAATAAATCTTAAATTGCTCAATGAAAACTGATAAACATACAATCCATAAATCAGTCATAATCCCTACACAAAACAAAATTGAAAAAAAAATCTACATTTCTTTATTAATTTTTACCCAAAAATTTATGAACACACAAGATAGGTACCAAGTGACCATGTGGCAATTGATTAAAAATAATGAGAAGAAAACTTAATTTCAAAATTAATGTACAGTTCTATTTCCTGTACTTACCTTCTCTCCCTCCCTTCTCCACCATCTTTGTACTGAAGTGCACATGTTACAAATCTGTAAATACACATTTCCCAACTATTCTTTCTTCCCTCTTCCACCCATCATCCACCCATTTCATCTAGCCGGGTACTCAACTTCTTTTGTCATGGCATAAGAAACCCAAATTACAAACCAAAAGTAAGATTTTATTCGAAATATGCTCACTGAATTTGTCAGACCAAAATCATTGTAGCCAAATATTGGAATCAGTGGTGAGGCAATAGAGTTGTGAACAAATGGAACAAACTGTCACCTTTGGTTATTGAAGCGAGAACTTCTTTTGAATCTCAGAACAATTCAGTTTAGAGTAATATTTAAAGAGATATTACAAAAAGGTCAAGGTGTGGTGCACTAGGTTGTTCGAATATGAGGGACTAGCTCACAACGACCACCCCACAACACTATGAGGGACTAGCTCACAACGACCACCCCACAACAATATGAGGGACTAGCTCACAACGACCACCCCACAACACTATGAGGAACTAGCTCACAACGACCACCCCACAACACTATGAGGGACTAGCTCACAACGACCACCCCACAACACTATGAGGGACTAGCTCACAACGACCACCCCACAACAATATGAGGGACTAGCTCACAACGACCACCCCACAACACTATGAGGGACTAGCTCACAACGACCATCCCACAACAATATGAGGGACTAGCTCACAACGACCACCCCACAACAATATGAGGGACTAGCTCACAACGACCACCCCACAACAATATGAGGGACTAGCTCACAACGACCACCCCACAACAATATGAGGGACTAGCTCACAACGACCACCCCACTACAATATGAGGGACTAGCTCACAACGACCACCCCACAACAATGTGAGGGACTAGCTCACAATGACCACCCCACAACAATTTGAGGGACTAGCTCACAACGACCACCCCACAACAATATGAGGGACTAGCTCACAATGACCACCCCACAACAATATGAGGGACTAGCTCACAACGACCACCCCACTACAATATGAGGGACTAGCTCACAACGACCACCCCACAACAATATGAGGGACCAGCTCACAACGATCACCCCACAACAATAAGAGGGATTAGCTCACAACGACAACCCCACAACAATATGAGGGACCAGCTCACAACGACCACCCCACAACAATATGAGGGACTAGCTCACAACGACCACCCCACTACAATATGAGGGACTAGCTCACAACGACCACCCCACAACAATGTGAGGGACTAGCTCACAATGACCACCCCACAACAATTTGAGGGACTAGCTCACAACGACCACCCCACAACAATATGAGGGACTAGCTCACAATGACCACCCCACAACAATATGAGGGACTAGCTCACAACGACCACCCCACTACAATATGAGGGACTAGCTCACAACGACCACCCCACAACAATATGAGGGACCAGCTCACAACGATCACCCCACAACAATAAGAGGGATTAGCTCACAACGACCACCCCACAACAATATGAGGGACCAGCTCACAACGACCACCCCACAACAATATGAGGTACTAGCTCACAACGACCACCCCACAACAATATGAGGGACTAGCTCACAACGACTACCCCACAATAATATGAGGAACCAGCTCACAACGACCACCCCACAACTATATGAGGGACTAGCTCACAACGACCACATCGCAACAATATGAGGGACTAGCTCACAACGACCACCCCACAACAATATGAGGGACTAGCTAACAACGACCACCCCACAACAATATGAGGGACTAGCTCAC